GCACGTACCCATGTGGTCAAGTCGATCCCCGATTGGGTGCGTGCTGGAGGCAAACTGATCAATGTTTCTCTCTCTCCCTCTCCCTTTCTCTCTCTCTTAAATCAATAAAATCATTAAAAAAGAAAAAAGGATTAATTCCAAGGGCAGGCATAAGAATTAGGAGTTTCAGACTATTTTATAAATTAACACTTCAGGTCCTTCTCTGGAGCCATTTTCCCTCCTCTTCACCCCCACTCATTCTGTTTTGTTTAGCAGACACTCAATAGGTGTTGGGAATTTACTTTCTTTTCTTTCTTGCTCACTTCTCCCTGCACCAATCTCTCTTCCTCCTCCCTGCCGCTTTTCTTTCCATCCTATTATTCTCAACTGGCCAGTCTATGGAACTGAAGGATATTTTAAAATTAAAAGTTCTTGATTTTCAGTTGTTAGACGAGAATCCAGGTGCATAGAGGTTTCCCTGTCCTTCTCTGAAGGTAGAACAAATCGCTTTTTATCATCGTACTGTCCAAAATCTACTCCCTACACGGTGTGGGTAAGGGGTCCAGCTTCTCCCCTGCTGGGGGCACCCCCTTCTTGACAGAATGAGACTCTGGGAGCCTGGGTGCTGATTCTGGCAGCCCAGCCCAGCCCAGCCCAGCCCCCTGCCCCTGACAGAGACTCAAATGAGGCCACCACCTAGTGGCCACCCTGTCTGCCCACCCACCTTGTTTTGAAGGACTCTGGCAGCTAGCTTCCTCTCTGCTCCCATCTTCTCCAGGCCTCTCCAGGGTGCCAGGTCACAGAGACCTACTTCAAGGACACCTGCCTCCTCCCCGCACCCACATTTGCAGGACAGTGTTCCCCTCCCCACAACCTGCCAATTCTCTGTCTGGAAACCTGGGTGCAGCCAGCAAGCCTGGCGTCCAGACCAGGCCCCTCCTCACCAGGTCACATGGGGACGTGTCGGTCTCCACAGCTGCTCACCTCACAGGGCTGCAGAGGGTGGGGGCCTTCCAAGCGTTGACAGAGAAGGAAGAGGCTGAAACCAGTAAGAGGCCACCTGCCTCCAACACCCCTTCTCACTTCATCTGAAGAAACACTCTTTAACCACTTGGATAGGCTCTTTGTTTTCACGCGAACAAACCCCACCACAGAGAGCTGTACTCCGGGGTTCCCCTGCTCCATCCTGAATCTAAACCGGATGTGAGTTTGAAAGTAAGTGTGCAAAAAGGAGCAACCACCTTCCCCCTGGGTGGGTGGCGGGGAGCGGCCTCCCCAGACGGGAAAAGGGGGTAGGGGCCCTTCTGAGGGGGCTTCTCCTAGTTCTTCACTCCCACCAGACCAGCAAGAAGCCCCCTCAGCGGGGCCCTCCCCTCCGACTCCCTGCAGTGAAATCCATGCTTTGGGATTTCTAGCTTCTGAGGGAAACCCCACAGATGCGGCAGGGCCTCAGGGCCTCAGTCTGGAAAATGGGTTTCAACTGAGGGTTGGCTCCCCCTCAGTACCTTCTTCCCCTCTCCCAAGTTATATAACTGTTAAAGCTTCCAGTCACGGACTAGAAGAGTCCAACAGGCCAGGTGGGACTTTAAGGAACTCCCTCCTGAGTTGCGGGGGGTCAGTTCCAACAACACCACCCGGCAGAAAACAGCCTCTCAGTCCCTCAAGTGATCAAGAACCCAATGGAACCCTAGACAATTTTAACAAAGAAAGAAAGAGAGAGAGAGAGAGAGAGAGAGAGAGAGAGAGAGAGAGAGAGAAAGAAAGAAAGAAAGAAAGAAAGAAAGAAAGAAAGAAAGAAAAGAAAGAAAGGAAGAAAGAAAGAAAGAAAGAAAGAAAGAAAGAAAGAAAGAAAGAAAGAAAGAAAGAAAGAAAGAAAAAGGGCTTTTATAGGGGGGAAAAAAAAAAAGAAGAACCCCCATGGAGAGAACCAAGATAGCAGACAATCCAAAAAAAAAAGCTCCATGCATGGGCTTTGGGAGTCACTGTTTTCCTTGCTCATGTGCATGCGTGCATTTGGGGATAGTGTATCTGGATTTAACAGTGGGGAAAAAATCACTGACCCCAAAATTGACAGGAGAGACCTCCCACCATCCTTCAATCTCCCTCGTGCTGGTCAGTTCCCACAGGGAAGCCAGGCCAGGCTCCATATGCCCCACTCTGTTCCTAGCAGACTTGGTTGCAGGGGCTCAGGCTTGGGGACAGGCTCTGCCACATACACATCATGTGACTTCTCTGAGTCTTGGTGTCCCTGTGTTTAAAATGGGGACAATAGCCCTGCTGGTGTGGCTCAGTGGTTGAGCGTCGACCTATGTTCGATTCCCGGTCAGGGCACATGCCTGGGTTTTGGACTTGATCCCTGGTAGGGGGCATGCAGGAGGCAGCTGATCAAAGATTCTCTCTTATTTATGTTTCTCTCTCTCTCTCCCTTCCTCTCTGAAATAAATTATTTAAAACAAAAATATAATGGGGACAATAATTCCTGTCCTCCCCACAGAAATTATAGAGCCCTAGCTGGTTTGGCTCACTGGATAGGGCATCAGCCCGTGAACTGAAGGGTCCCAGGTTCAATTCCAGTCAAGGGTACTTATCTCAGTTGCGGGCGCGATCCCTGGCCCTGGTCTGGGTGCGTGCGGGAGACAACCAATTGATGTGCCTCTCTTACATCGAAGTTTCTATCTCTCTCTGTCTCTCCCTCTCCCTTCCACTCTGTCTAAAAATTGATGGGGAAAATATCCTCGAGTGAGGATTAACAAAAAAAAAAAAAAAGGAAAAAATAAAGAAAGCACTTTATACCATACCATTTATAAACTGTCATACCAGTGTTTCCAAATAATGCTTCACAGAATATAGTAAGGGAAGTTTGAGAAATGCGGTATTTATACTCTAACCTTGGCTTTAACATCACATGCAGGTGAGCATATCAAAGGCCCTTATAAGTCCTGCAGTTTAAACGTCTGTTTAACGATATTTAATCGATTAGGTCTAATTTCTTAACTTGTGTCGCTCTCTAAACTCTTTCTTTCTGGGATACCAATGAATAAACATTCAATGTCTTGAGACCGCTAGAGAATAGCTTAGGAAACACAGCCCAGGATGGACCGAAGGAGGCCTGGTTCCTGTCTTGGTCCCAGTGTGTTTCTCCGCAGTGCCAACCTGACTCAGATTCCCATACCTCTGAGAAGACCCCAATGCCTTCTGTGTGGGTCACTTTCCATTTCCCACCCTCACCAGACTTACCCCAAACCAACCCACACAGGGGATAGAGGGGAACCTGTAATTTATCTATTCTGCCCTAAAAGGGGGGGCTCACCAGCTTCTCCCATATATGTACCAGCTCTGGCCACTGCCACACTTAGAACTACCTCAAAGGTTCAACCTGACTGGCCGTCCCTGCCACCTCGCCCCCTCGGTGTCCTTCTATCCTTCCCCCTCATTGGACAGACACATTCTGCTCTTTCCACTGTCAGAGGTCAGTACACATTCTGCTGCTTCCTGAGCCCCACCATCTAATGCGCAATTGCCCTCTGGTCACCTCCCTGCCTCCCTGTCCATTTTGGCAACTCTTCAGGCTGGGATTTGGTGCTACACATCTTTGAGAGGTAAGACTACAAGCGATTACAAGGATGTGCTGAGAAATCTGGGTTTAAATCCTGATTCCACCACTTATCAACGGGATGATCAAGTTACGTAACTTCCCCGTGCCTCAGTATCCTTATCTGTAAGTGGGGCAAACAAGAGTACCTGTTTCTTGGGGTTGTTGGGAGGAATTAATGAGTCCATTAAAGTGCTTAGGACAGTGTCTGGCACAGTGAGTGCTAGGTAAGTGTTAGCTATTACTATTATTTTCATTCCTTCTCCTCCACAGAGCCTTCCACAGGCAGTGTTTAAAACTCTGTATAACTGGGTGTATTTACTTCCTTCCACAGGGCTCGGAAGCGCTCAAAGATAGGGCTCGGAGAGGGCTCTCCAGGCTGAGCTGAAGGCACCAGGGGCAGGATTTGAGGTTGGAGAAGGGGGCGGGGTTTCCCCCACTGCCACATCAGGGTACTTTCCCACCCAGGAGCCCAGCCCAGCCAAACCAGCCCTGCTGCTCAAGCCACGAGCTGCCAGGGCTAGAAGGGTCCCGAGCCCGGCCACAAAGGGGGAAACTGAGGCTTACCGGGCCTCTTTCACACTTCACCACCCCACCCCCGTGATCATCAACCCCTCCAAGTAGGTCTGTTGTGGACAGAGCTCCCGCTGTCAACTTGACTTGGGGGAAGGCATGGGGAGACACACAGTGTTCACCTGATGGGAGCTCAAAGGTGGTGCAAGAGTCCAGCCCAAGCCCTAATCTGACACGTGCCCATACCACCATTTCACAATAGATGGAGTTGCCCACATGATCCTAAGGGGCAGAGAGCAAAAGACGATTCCCCCTTTCCCCAAAGCACCCAACCTGCACGGGTTTTCTCCTGGGGCAGGAAAGCCGTTCTAACTGCCGGGGCACCCCTAAGACTAGTACGACAGGAAGAGTAATACCAAAGACGGCCGGCGAGGCGGGGGGCAGTCGGGGCGCACTTCCTGGAGGAGGAGGCGCGTTTCGCGCGCTCCAGCCAGTGAACCAGCCCCTTCCCTCACTCACCGGTGTCCGGAGGGGTGAATAAGGCGCTCGAGATGGCTCTCCGGCTGCCTCCACCACTGGGCAGGACCAGCGCCCTCATCTGCCGGACCAGCTGGGGCATGCGGTCCCAGAGGCCCTCGGCGCGGCAGCGCTCCAGCTCGCTCTCTACCTTCAGGTGGGAGCTGTGTGCGCCCTTCGCAGCCATCTTCGCGCGGGCGCTGTCATGGGAGGTGCGGCTAAGAAGTGGAGACCCGGCCGGGGGCGGCGTCCCGGCTGGGGCGCACACGCAGGCGGGGTCGAGGAGGGCGCGGACGGCGTCCGGGGGCCCGGGGGCAGCGGGGGCCCAGGCGGCGGCGGGAGAGCAGCAGCAGCAGCACTGATTGCACCGCCCGGCGCCTCCGGGCTGGGGCTCCGGCCGCGCGGCCCGGACGCGTCCAGAAGCAGCCTCCGCCTCTGCTGCAACTGCCTCAGTCGCTGCTGCCTCCGCCGCTGCTGCAGCTGCTGCCACAGCCCCCGCCCCGGGCCCGGGCGCCGCCAGCTGCGGACCCGCCCCTGGCCTCCGCTCCACCCCCGCGAGGGCGTGGCGCGGCTCCGGGGAGGCGGGCGCGCCTGCGGCCAGCGGGGCCACAGCAGCCAGGCTCCCGAGGAGCGCTCGCGGCCGCCCCGGCGCCAACCGCCCGCCGCCCGCGCGGCGGACTCGGCCTTCACTTTAATGCTGGGCGGAGTCCCGGCGCCCGGGGGCGCCCCTCTGCCCGCCCCCTTCCCCACCCATTGGGGCTCTTGGCCTGGGAGACCCCCGCCCCGACGTTCCGGCTTTGTGTGATGGCTCCGTCACCACTGCTGCCCCCGACACGTCACAAATCCGAGGAGAGGCCGGCCGGCCGGGAGTCCCCAACCCCGAGAGCGAGCCTCCCCGGAAACCCGCCTCCGCCGCGTGGGTCCTGCCCTGCTCCCTATGGGGAACGCGCCACCCCCGGGGTACGCGGGAGAAAACAGGCGGGTTTTGAGTCTCTCGACTCTATGGACGTCTCCACTCTAACAGACTGTTTCTTTCTTTCTTTCTTTTTTTTTTTTAAAACAGCGGAGTTCCTCTTTCCAACTTGACTCCCTTACCTAACCGACTGTCCTCAGCAGAATCCAATTGCCCTGGATTTCTTAAAGGTTTTAAGCTGTTTCTCCAACTTGGTATTTATTTATTTCTTCATTCTGGTGTCTAAAGACTGTGATCAAGGCTGCCCTGAGCTCTTGGCAAGGCTTAGTCTGGCTCTGTGGGGTACTAAGAAGTTCAGAGGATTACTTGGTGGCCTGGTGGGAGGGGCAGACCAACAACACCCTGTGCCTGGTACAGGTTCTGGCGGCCCCACCTCCGGGGTGCCCTCGGTTTAGTCTTGTGTAGGGATTGAGGCCATCACGCACAAAATCACAGTAAGACCAAAACAAAGAGCAAGCAAACAAAAAAACCACCTCCCTGTATGTAAGCGAAGACTCCAGAAAACAGGGGTGTCAGGGCAAGCTTTTAAGTATAGACTCCTAAGACCCCTCAAGTAGGTCTTTCCCACTGCCGGCACGTGACCTTGAGAGTGAGCATGGCCACTCAATGTTGGGAGCCTCTGGACAGCTGTAAACGTGGGAAGGCTTTTGTCAAGAGGGGCCCAGGCTCCTGGTGCTTATCCCACTGGGCCCTTGGCGCTGCAGCCACGGGAGGGGGGGGGGGCGTGTTATCAGTGGAAGGCAGTCTTCCTGCCCCCCACCCCATCCTCCTAGATACCCTCCTCTCCAGATTCCAAATGTAGCTCCATTCCTTGCTTGGCAGGCAGGGTTTCCTGAATTTGGAGGCTGTGCTGAGTACCTGGGGTCTGTCCTGATCTCCCAGAATCCAGGAGATAAGCGAAGAAAAATTGGGACAGCTCCGGCAGTTAGAATTTGCTCAATTTACACACACTCCTCCTTGCCTACTACTGTCAACTCTTCTAGCTGGCTTTTGGTTAGTTACCCTTGGCTGCCCTTGGTAGTTACCAGAACCGGATTTTGCTAGGAGAATGATTTGAGCATGTCCTTCCGGGGAGGGTGGCCCGAGAACACCCTGTGATTTACCCCAGATCTGGCAGTCCCCAGAGTCAGCCCTGGGGCCGACAAAGAAAAGCAGAGTTGATAAGCAGGAGGCAATCTTTATGGAAAAGAAAACCTCCTCCCTCTTTTCTGCAGTCCTTTGCCAACCCTGCCCCCAGGTTGCAGTGCTCCAGGGAACTAGCTGAAGGGGAATGGCTCCTTGTTTCTTTGACAGGTGTTCCAATATGTGTGTGGGCATGGGCCCAGGAGGGGAGGAACATCCCTTGCACTAGGCGGGGAAAGCCCTGCCAAGTATCATGGTTTAAACTTATGATGAGAAGAATTTATCTGTCTATTGAGATCTTGCTTCTAGGCACATCCTTTGTTTGGCTCAAATTCATTTTTATAATACAGAAACAAAAAACTTACCATGAGCTGCTCCTCAATACTGTGGAACACCTGCCTTCATGGCTCTTCTCCAGGAGAGATAAGACCCCAGCCTGCGAGCGACCAGCTTTTTGGGGGGACTGTAAGAGACTATGCGCACAACAACCATGACTAATTAGTAACATTTGCCAAAATCAAAGGCATATAAAAAGGGTGGTGGTGGTTTTTATTTTTTAATCTGAAATCTCTTAGGTGAGAGTTTAGGACAAATTCTGATTGCTACCAAGATAACTTGCTGATGAGGTGAAGCTGAGCTCAGAGGAAGTAATGAAGTTCATAGGAGGTATTGATTTACTTCCTACCAGTGGCTATGTGGTCTCCACTTTCAGTTCTTGGTTATCAGGGTTCTTTCCAGCTACTCTTCAATTTATTATTCAAGATGATTTTTTTCTGTGTTTAAGTTGTAATTTAAGTTTGGTCCTGGGAGGGTGTCAGCGTAGCTTCCATTTAATCTGCCGCCATTTCCCTGCTCTGAATCTATATCTTGCCTACCGGTTTTCTCAATGGGACAATAGGAGGAGATATGAAGACTCCTTTCTCCTTCAGGCTTTTGATTATTAGTTTTATTCCTTCTTTAGCACCTTGTTTTAGAGCAGTGGTTCTCAAATGCTGCGACCCTTTAATACAGTTCCTCACGTTGTGGTGACCCCCAATTTCATGGTTACAAATTGAACATAATTAAAGCATAGTGATTAATCACAAAAACAATATGTAATTATATATGTGTTTTCTGATGGTCTTAGGCGACCCCTGTGAAAAGGTTGTTCGATCCCCAAAGGGGTCACGACCCACAGGTTGAGAACCGCTGTTTTAGAGGCTATTGTGCAAATTTGGGTAAAGGTTTAGGTAGGTCATTCTGAACCTTGATGAGTTTAGTCTGGAAGAATATCATTAGAATTGTTTGCCCACAAAAGAGCTTCAATCTGTGCTTGATCTACACAAAAAAAATACTGGTACAACAATATCCAAGTTAGCCAGGACCTCATTATGAATAGAGATGTCCTCTGGGACTGGAGGGAAGAGACCATCAGGACACAGTCAATCCCTTGCTATTAAGTTAATGAGTGTCACAAAGGAAAAACTCTTTGGTTAAAGATTCTAGGCTAAAAAGGGGAAAAAAAGGTTCAAGGGTGACAGTTATCCGGGTTGGGGGGGGACCTGGAGAAGGTGCGATGAGGATTATTAACTAGATGCATGACTGGAATAGTTTGTTGACTCCAAGGAACATGCTGTATAGTAGTGCTCAGGTTTAAGATTGCTATTATTGTGCCCATATCAATCAAAAAGTTGTACTGTTGTCCTTTAATTTTTAGAGAAATGTTTCCTTGCAGGTTTAAGAATAGAATGCGAAATGGAACACCTTCATTGATAACTTTTTTCTTTTCCGTTTTTTTAGTTTCTTAGTTCTAGAGCCCTTTCAATATAGACTCTTTCAAGATTTTGATCATAGCATATTAAAGTCCCTATTTCTGGTTTAAGGCCATTCACAAAAAGTTAAGAGGGAGAGCCAAAGTCAATGTGAACAGTCTGACTGTAACCTATTGTGTTTGTTTAGCTAACGGCCTCTGTGTGTCCCAGTCTCATGACTGAATGCCCAAGTACTCCAGCTCAACTCTCACCTACTCGGTAAAGCCTTACCCTGCCACCCAGGTCTTACAATGTTCTTTCATCTCTGCACTAAATTTTAACATGGTCTGTGTCCTACAGTTCAGCTCTTTTCAATGTTCAATTCCTGCAATGCTTAAAAAAAATAATACTTAATACATTAAAAATGTTTCTCTTGCTGCTTCCCTTCTTTTCTATATTTCTATCATTGCAACCTTCAGTATATTTATAATAAGAATTTCAGGTATAGGTTAATAGGTGTCACTGTGAGAAATAAAATTTAAAAAGCTTACCATTCTTTTAAAATTGATTAACTGATTCATTCACACACACCCCTTCACTTATATTATTAAAACTATTAGATGTTGGGTCAAGAAGAGAAAATAATGATTAATTTTGCTTAGAGAAGAATAAACGGTAATGGTGGGGATTTTGAGGGAAGGCAGGAGACAAGTCACCTTACAGGTGATATAATCAAGTTAATTTATTCTGAGCAGGCATGTGTCAACATTTTACTAAGAAAAACAAGTGCAGTGCACTGAACTGACCTGTATAAAAAAAAATACTGAAAGCTGAGTAGAAGCAGCCCAGATCCCTAAAGGTCAATTTATGGAAGGATCAATTAGTTCAATGTCCATGCTACCCCCCAATTTGCCAAATGTGCAAGTTACCAAAAACTTAGAATACTCTTGAAAATATCCAATGACTATTAAGGTATTTTTTATGAATACCACATGGAATATTTTTTATTATTCTTCCAGGTATTATTCTCCAATATTCTAATTCAAAACATTCATATTTAACATATTCTAGAATGCTTTTATTCATGAATGTGTTTCATAAATGTATTTACGTTTCTTTCAAAACATCTTGAAATTATGGTAAGATAAATCAAACTTTCAATTAATTGGAAAGCTAAGCTCGTAAGTAAGTTGATGAAATCATGTAAGGAGAGTGGGAACTCAGGCTAGAATCCTGGGTGCCTTAACATTTATAAGTTGAACAGAAGATGAGAAGTCAGTGAAAAGAATTCTAGAAAGAATAGCCAGGCCTGGCCAGAGTGGCTCAGTTGGTTGGAGTATCGTCCAACCAAAAGGTTGAAAGGTTGCCAGTTCGATTCCAGGTCAGGGCACATGTCTGGGTTGTAGGTTCAGTCCCTGGTTGGGCACCTACAGAAGGCAACAGATTAATGTTTCTCTCTCATATCGATGCTCCCCCCTCCCTTTCTGTCTCTAAGCATGTCCTCAGGTAAGGAATAAAAAAAAAGGCCAGTGAGATAGGAGTGCATGATGTCAGAAAACATGAGATGAAAGTGTTTCAAAGTGGGAGTGGTTGGCTGTGATGAACAGCACTGAGAGGGTAAGTAGAAAAAGAGGAGAAGGTACCATTGGATTTGCATGAAGATTGCAGTTTCATTAGTGTGGTAGTGAAGAAACCAGAGGGAAAGGTTATTTGACGATAGGAATAGTTTATTAGAGAGGGAACAATTGGTGATTCAAGAGAGGGAAGAGGATAAGATCCGCAGAAGTGGAGCCATTGGTATCAGATACTGAGCTTCTTTTTTTAAAAAATAATTCTTTATTGTTGAAAGTATTACATATGTATCCCCTCTTCCCCCATTGGCCCCCTCTATCACGCTTCCCATCCCCCCAAAGCCTTCAGCACCCTATTGTCTGTGTCCATGGATTATGCATATATGCATACAAGGTCTTTGGTTGATTACCTCTCACCCACCCACCCTCCCCCACCTTCCCTCTGAGATTCTGCACTCTGTTCCATGCTTCAAGACTCTGGGTCCACTCCGCTCATTAGTTTATTTTGTTACTTAGATTCCACATATGAGTGCGATCATGTGATACTTGTCTTTCTCTGACTGA